CGCAGCCCGCCGCTCGCCGCTCGCCGCCCGCCGCTCGCCACTTGCCGCTGGGAGCCCAAACGCCGCTCACATCCCAGCCGCAAGCCCGCTGACGCCTGCGCCGGTCCCCGCCACACCAGCCAATCAGCCCCGGGCACGGGCAGGCCCCGCCCCTCATCCCCTCCCGGTTCCGCGGGCCGCAGCCATGCCGGAGAAGGGCGGATGAAGCTGCAACCGTGCGCTGTCGCCAGGCAGGGCTGAGCTCCGGCTCTCGCCGCGCCGTGGACTCAGTCAGTCCTTCTCACCACACGAATTCCAGTAGGTCAGAGTTCTCTGAACGGGAGGACACTGGGCGGTTGCTGGCCAGAAAGGGATCACCTAGCGACACGAGCCACAGGGCAAAGCGGGAGCCCCGGTACAGACCCCGGAGTTGTCCCCAGCCCTCACACCTCGAGATGTCGTCAGCCCGGATACCCTGAGATGTCCCAGCCAAGATACCCCGAAGTGTCACCAGCCCTAATACCCCGAGATGTCACCAGCCCTGGTACCCTGAGATGTCCCAGCCAAGATAACCTGAGATGTCCCAGCCAAGATACCCTGAGAGGTACCCAGCCCGGACACCCTGAGATGTACCCGGTCAGGACACCCCGAAATGCCACTAGGGTTTATACAAACTTAACAGGCAATCGATCACAATTCCGTTCTAACAGTTCATAACTGGCCTCGAACTCGCAGCGATCCTCCTGCCTCACCCTCCCAAGTGCGGGGATTACAGGTGTACACCACTGGGCCAAGCTTCAGGACTTTACCTTTAAAAACATGCTTCCAGATAATTTGAAAAGTTCATAGCTATTTAACGTTTGGGTCTAATGTATGAAAAATGATATGCTTAGACAATTTACTCTTCGAAAACCTTTGTTAAATGTTTAGATCCTTAAAAACAAACAAAGCAGCCTGGCATGGTGGCGCATGCTTGTAATGCCAGCACTGGGGAGGCTGAGGCAAAAGGATCGTTGTGAGTTAGCAGACCAGCCTGGGATACAAAGCCCAGCCTGAACTGCATAGTGAGACCCTGTCTCAAAGAGAAAAAAGACAAACAAACAAGGCAGCACTTGCTTCTATTAAAGAAAATTTTTTTCTAGTAATAAGTCCTAAGATCTGATTCAGTGACTTGAAGGTAGAAGAAACCTTAGTTCCTTGGCTTGCCCAAAGTTTTTCTTTCAAAATTTTCATTCTTTTAGTATATGTTTACAGTATATGATTGTATTTGTTGTGGGGAGTTCGTACATGTATGTGACACATCTTAACTCTTTACACCCCTTTCTCACAATTTTCTCTAGTGCTGATGCCTCAAATTAGAAAGATGACATCATGACATCCCAGGAAGTGATCAAACAGTTCCCAAGTCTCCCTGTAGACTTCCCTTCATGTTCCATGGCCAGTTGCAAAGATGGGCTTAGACTGGTTTATCTCCATTAATGTTTTGTAATGGCATTTAGAAATGATATTCCTACTTTTTAATGTCAATCTAAGAAATGAGTTTAATGCTCTAATATGAAGAAAGTGGTAGTGAAATTCCTGGAAAATTCAGTGCTCATTAATACCCATATGGAAGTTTCTTGGGATTTTATGTGAAAAATAAAATCTAGGCTCATGTTTAGTCACATGGAAAATAAAAGATTTTAGATGCTTATAAAGCAATTAGAGCTGGGTGTGGTGGCAATCTCTTGTAATCCAAGCACTTGAGAAGCTGAAGCAGGATCGATGTGAGTTCAGGCCAGCCTGAACTTGAGTAATGGAGGGCTGGGGATTTAGCTCGGAGGCACAGCACCTGCCTAGTAAGCATGAGTTCGATTCCCAGTGCAAAAACAAACAAACCAACCACTCAAGGGGGTAGGGGTGGGGGAAATAAAGTGATTTGAACTGACAGATGCAAGGAAATCCATTTCAAAGATGAATTTGAACCTGAAAAACCCAAATAAAGTATTAATTCAACCCATCTAAAGAGATAAAAGGAAACAATATATGACATTTTCTTTTTTATTAATTAAGTTTATTGATACATTTTAGGTATACATAGTGATCACGTTCATCATAGGGAATTTGTACCTTACAAGATATGACTTGATTCTTTTTTCCCCATTCCCCTATCCTCCCTTGAACCCTTCTTCCCCTCCTTATTTATAAAAGCTTTATTTCCATTTTCCCTTCTTTTCTCATTTTTTTCTTTCCCCTTCCTTTCTTTTCTCCTAATTCTCAAATAATGTCGAGATTCCGTCTTACTCCAGAAAGAATGGCTGTTATCAAGAAATCAACCAATAATAAATGCTGGAGGGATTTCTCCACTGTTGGAGTGCAGACTGGTGCAACCACTCTGGAAATCAGTGTGGCGTTTGCTCAAAAATCTAAAACTACAGGTTCCACTCAAGCCAGCTATTCTCCTTCTTGATATCTTCCCAAAAGAATTAAAAGCAACATACCACAGTGATACATGCATGCTCATATTTATAGCAGCACAGTTTGCAATAGCTAAATCGAAACAGCCCAAATGCCCATCAACTGATGAATGGATAAAGAAGATGTGGGGTTTTTATATGACGGAGTACTACTCTGCCATAAAGAAGGATAAGCTTAAGACATTTCTAGTAATGGGTGCACCTTGAGACCATACTCTTAAATGACATACATTGGACACGTGTAAATACCACATTGTTTCTCTGGTGTGAGAAACCAGATCTGTAATTAAGGACCAAAATATGTCATAGATGTTCTGAAATAGGAAGAAAATGTTCAAATGGGAAGAATTAGGAGAAAAGAAAGGAAGGGGAAATGGAAATAAAGCTTTTATTGTTGTTGTTTTTGAGACGAGGTCTCACTATGTAATGTAGCCTAGGCTGGCCTCAATCTCAGGGCGATCCTCCTGCTTCCTGCGCTTGTTTACAGGCGTGCGCCACCAAGCCCGGCAACGAAAGTTTTTAAATGACTGTTATACAATCAGAATGGCATTGTAGGGCGGAAAGCTTAGGTAAGGAGGTCTAATCCGTTTATAAGCTGTGTGACCTTGGGCAAGTTACCTATCTGCAATTTTCTTATCATACCCCAATACATACCCACCTTCAGCTTGCTGTGGTGGCACAAACCTATAATCTCGGACCTCCAGAGGCTGAGGCAGGAGAAGCTGGGTTATACGAGTTCAGGCCTGCCTTAGACTACACAGCAAATTCCTATCTCCTAGGTTGGAGTTCCAGCCACACTGGAGGCACCCAATAAAAAAGGCTTAAACAAACAAAACCTCTCCCTGAACAACAGTGACTCATGACCTTATTTTAACCTCGTTTCCCTTCCGACCTCAGGAAATGAATGGATCAATGCAAAAAGAAAGCTGCAGGGTGCGCAAGTCACCGCACAGCCGCCTGGACACTCGGTGCCTCTGGGTTCAACCTAAGCTCACAGGCCGCCGGACTCCCACTGTCAAATCTTTACGCCGCGACGGTCCACTTCGCGGCACCCCACTTAACAACGCCCCTCCTGTTATACCGTTTCGTTGCGGGGATAAATGCTCCTTTGTGGCCGCCGTAGGCCGGGAGTTCCGGCACTGCACTCCCATTGGCTGGGTGCGTTTGGCGCCAAAGCACGGAGCAAAGGCGGAGACTAAGAGCTGGAGCTGTAGGGTAGTGAACGCGAGCCCTGCAGCCTAGCGCCCAGGACTGTTCCGCGTGAGAACTGGCGGTGGACGAGGCCGCAGGAGCGCGGCGCTTCCGCCATGTTTTGTGAAAAAGCTATGGAGCTGGTCCGCGAGCTGCACCGCGCCCCCGAAGGGCAGCTGCCCGCTTTCAACGTGAGGGAGGGCTTGGCTCAGGAGGGTCACGTGGGGGCGTGGCCGGCGCGGAGAGCGTGGGGCGGCCGGGGCGTGGTCTGGCGTGGGGACGTGGTCTCGGGCGGGGCAGGGAGCCTGCGCGGGCTGCGGTGAGAGGCGTGTGCCACCACGCCCACCTAAGGGTGACTCTTTGGACTGGATGCTCCTAAGGATGCAACAGCCTGTAATCTCAGTACTGCAAAAGGAAGGGCAAAGTGGATAGTATTGCTTCTCTAGATTGTTGACAGCTACTGTATAACATTTATGAATTTAATGTTTTATTTTTACAACAGAAAATGTTTTAAAAACTTGCTTCAAAGTGGATAGTATGAAAATTCTCTTGTCCGCCGCTGCCTTCTCCTCCTCGTCCTTTTTTTTGTTTGTTTTGTTTTGTTTTTGATTTTGAGCCTGCGTCTCTTACGTAGTTCAGGCCAGCCTTGAACTCACTGTATAACCAGTACAATCCTCTTGCCTGAGCCTCCCAAGTGCTGGGAATACAGATGTGCACCGAAACACCCGGCTTGGGCTTTTTATTCCTGCAGTACAAACTAAAAAGGGTTTTTTAAAAGCCCGGCATGGTGGTGCATGCCTGTAATCCTAGCCTCTTTTTTTTTTTTTTGGTTCCCCCCCCCCCCCCGGTATCGGGACTCTAACTCACGACCTTGCGCTTGCCAGACAGGCGCTGTGCCGCTGAGCTAAATCCCCAGCTCCAAGCCTAGCCTCTTTAAAGACCAATTTTTCAGTAAACAATAAATCATTTACCAGCTTTTGTTATTGCTTTTGTATGACCAATTTTTTGGTCATCAGTTTTAGTGAGGTATAGTTTGTGTGTGACAAAATATATAGTGGAAGAGATTTTTGAATTTTAACAAATGTATATAAGTTTGTTGTGTTTTTTTTTGAGACAGGGTCTTGCTATGAAGTCCAAGTTAGCTTTGAATTCACTATGGTGATCAGACTTGTGGTAGTCCTCCCACCTCAGCCTCCCAAGTGCTAGAACTGCACACTCAGTTATTCATTCTTTCTTTCTTTCTTTCTTTCTTTCTTTCTTTCTTTTCTTTCCTTTCCTTTTTTGGTACCGGTAATCAAACTCATGACCTTGCGCTTGCTAGGCAGGCGCTGTGCCACTGAACTATATCCCCGGCTACATCTTTATACCTAGCACCCTGGTCAATATTTCTGTAGCCCCAAAAGTGTCATCCCCCTATTGTAGCTATCACTTACAGTCTGTGGCAACCACAATTTACTGTTTCTGATTGCAGATATTTGTTGTTTTAACATATTGCTGGGTTGAAGTGTTAAGAGTTGACACACTTTTTCTATAAGGGCTCCATGAAATCATATAGTATACTGTTTTTGTTTTTTTATTTTATTTTATTTTTTATTTGTTTATTTTTTTGGTGCTGGGAATGGAACTCAGGACCTTGTACTTGCTAGGCCGGTGCTTATGCCGCCAAGCTATAGCCCAGCCTCTTTTTTTATTTTTTAAAAAAACTTTATTGGTACATTTTAGATACACATGTGATCACATTCCACATAGGGGATTTGCACTTGTGCATGGTATATCTTGGTACCTCTTTTTCCCCCCATTCCCCTCCCTTCAGTGCCTCTTCCCCTCCTTATTTACAAAAGCTTTGTTTCCATTTTTCCTTTCTGTTTTTTATTTTTTTCCCTTCCTTCCTTTCCCTCTCCCCTCCCTTGTTTCCCTTCTCATTTGCACATTTTCTTGCTATTTCACAATATCTATTATACATTTGGGTCCTTATTTTCACTTTTGGTTTCTCACACCAGAGAAACAATGTGGTATTTATACATTTGTCCAGTGTATTTCACTTAAGAGTATGGTCTCCAGGTGTGTCCATTTAGCTAGAAATGTCTCAAGCTTATCCTTCTTTATGACAGAGTAGTACTCTGCTGTATAAAAACCCCACATCTTCTTTATCCATTCATCAGTTAATGGGCATTTGAGCTGTTTCCAAGATTTAGCTATGACAAACTGTGCCACTAGAAATTTGAGTGTGCATATGTCACTGTGGTATGATGCTTTTAATTCTTCTGGGAAGATACCAAGAAGAGGAATAGCTGGGTCAAATGGAACCTCTAGTTTTAGTCTTTTGAGGAATCTCCACACTGATTTTCACAGTGGTGGCACCAGTCTACACTCCCGTTTTTGGCCTCTTCTGCTCACATAATGGATTTGAGGTTATGTATGCTTTGAAATTGTGTATGTTTTCAGTAGTTAATACCTTCTTTATTTTTACTTTTTTCTGTGTAAAATATATGTAATAGAAAGTTTACCACTCTAAATCATTTTCAATTAATTACATTCACATAGTTGTCTAGCCATCGTAACTATTTCCAAAACTTTTTCATTACCTTAAACAAAAACCATCATTGAGCCAGGCATGGTGGTGCATGTCTGTAAATCCCAGCAGTTTGGAGGCTGAGGCAGGAGGATTGCCATGGGTTCAAGCTCAGCTTGAACTACATATGAGATCCTGTCTCAAAAAACCAAACCAAATCAAACAAAAAAACCATGTCATCTTTGAGCAATAACTGCCTACTTCCCTTTTCCTGGTAACCTCCAAGCCAGTGATGGAGAACCTTTTACAGCTTTCAGTGACACAAACAGCCTGCTGCCGCACATGTGCCATAGGTTTGCCACCACTGCTCTAAACTATGTCATCTGAGCAGAATCACAGAATACCGTTGTTGTCTTTTTGTGTCTGGAGTCTTTCATTTAGCATACAATTGTCAAGATTCACCCCTGTTGCAACATTATCAGTACTGATACTGATTCCTTTGTATGGCCAAATGATAGTCCTCAGAGTGGATATACCACATTTATCTACCCATCAGTGGATAGATGTTTGGATTGTTTCTACTGTGTGTTTGTGTGTGTGTGTTACACTTTTACTTTGTAGCCCAGGCTGACCTTGAACTTATAATCTTCCTGCCTCAGCTTCCCTAGTAGCTGAGATTACAGATGTATACCACCATGCCTGGCTTGTTTCCACTTTTTGACTATTTTGAATAATGCTACTAAGCACATTTATGTATCAGTTTTTTTGTTTTTGTTTTTGCCTTTTTGAGACAGGGTTTCACTATGCAGTTCTGGCTGGCCTTGGACTCACTTTGTAGCCCAGGCGGGCCTCCAACTCACAGCGATGCTCCTGTCTCAGCCTCCCAAGTGCTGGGATTACAGGCATGCACCATCACGCCTGGCTATGTACAAGTTTTTTTGTGTGAACATATGTTTTCAATTATGTCTAAAAGTGAGATTGCTGGATCGTGTGATAATTCTGTGTTAACTTTCTGAAGGACCATTGGATTGTTTTCCACAGGGCTCTCCCATTTTTGTTCCCTTCCAACACATGTTACAGCCATCCTACAAGTGTTGAAGGGCTGTTGCTTTTTGGTAAGGCATATACATCAAAGATAAATATAGTGCAAATAGAATATTGCCACAGAATTGGTAGGGAAATGAATGAATGTGTATTAATATAAGTTTATGTGTTTTAGGAGGATGGAATCAGACAAGTTCTGGAGGAAATGAAAGCTTTATATGAACAAAACCAGTCTGATGTGTAAGTTTTGATGAGATAGATATTTTAAAACAATTTCAGAAATAAGGTGTTGAAATCAGGTAACCTTGCATTAGTCTTTGGAACTTACTATCTTTTTTTGTTTGTTTGTTTGTTTTTCTCCGGTACTGGGAACCGAACTCACGACCTTGCACTTGCCAGGCAGGCGCTTTGCCGCTGAGCTAAATCCCCAGCCCCGGAACTTACTATCTTTTTAATTCTCTGAGCCTGATCATATTCTAGCTGTACAAATTAGCACAGGGCTAGGACTTAGAGGACTCTGTGCTGATCATTGCTTTATATAGGATGCTGAAACAGTGCTTGCCCAGCGGCAAATGCTTCATAAATATTTACGATTTGACCAATACATGTTGAGAATTAAGTAGATGTAAAGAAGAACCATGAGTCAGTTCAAACCCTAACAAAGCGAAGCATACATTTCCAGTTCATTTTCTTTAACTGATGCCTTCTTGCATTTTTCAGAGGAGAGTGGGCAGTTTGTAAACTTAGCAGGAGCTGTGTGATTTCTTTTTTTTTTGAGACAGGGTCTCACTAGGCAGTTCAGGTTGGTCTTAAACTCACTTTATAGCCCAGGCTGGCCTTAAACACACAGCAATCCTGCCCCAGCCTCCCGAGTGCTGGGATTACAGGTGTGCGCCACCGTGCCCGGCGTGCTGTGTGATATCTGATGGTCCAGTGTGTCTCACTAGAATCCTATCAGAAAAGGCTAAAAAAAAAAAGAAGAAAAGGCTGCTGCTTTGCAGTCAAGAGTGCGCTCTACCTCCTTATTCAGAGCAAGCATGGAAACGGGTGCAGTGGGGAATCTGACAGACTTCCCAGGTCCTGCTGACTCAGCAGAGTAAGTCCCAGAAGGTGCCAAGTGCTGGATCAGAGGTCACGATCTCAGCCTAGAGAGGTCCTGAGGTTGTCTGCAGAAACCTAGAGAGAATGTTTTGGAGGTACTTGGCTATGCAAATCAAGAGCATGCTAATAAGATTTTTGGGTTGCATAAGACGATAGGTGCATTTTCCAGGTAGTGTGTGTAAGAGTAGATCACACAAAGATCTTTGCACATGGAATGAGAAACAAAACCTCAGCAGACTTGCAACACATGTGTAAAAGGCAAACAGAGTCCTGGTCCAAGTCTCTCAGTTCTTTGTTAATGCAACAAACACACGCTGAGCAGGTAGGGCCAACAGATGGTTCTGGCGTTCCTATGTTAAGTGACACAGCCCAGACTCCAGTCTCATGGCCCTTGTAATCTCCTGTAGGAGTGCTGGGATTACAGGCATGTGCCACCAACCCTGGCTAAATGTGAATTTTTTTTGTTTTGGTTTTTTTCTGGTACAGGGAATCGAACTCATGACCTTGCGTTTGCCAGGCAGACGCTGTGCCGCTGAGCAAAATCCCCAGCCCCCTAAATGTGAATTTTTAAAAGAAGTTCTTATGTACTTTGTACAGGACTGATGTTAAGTCAGATGTATTTTATTCGCACTCTTTCCTTTTTTGTTTGTTTTGGTTTGTTTTGTGTTTTTTGAGGCAGGGTCTCGTTATGTAGCCCAGGCTGGCCTTGAACTCATATGTAGCCCAGGCTGGGCTGAAACTCACAGAAATCCTCCTACCTCAGCTTCCCTTGTGCTGAGATTATAGGCGTGCACATGCACCACCTGCCTGGCTATTTGTACTCCTCCCTTATAACGCAGAGTACATTGTGAGCCATGTGGAGAATAAATCTGACCTTCCTGGGGTGGCAGAAGTGTGTGGAACTGCTTTTAGGGGGGGTGAGGGTATAGTTGAGTGGTAGAGTGCTTGTTAGCATGAGCGAGGCCCTGGTTTTGATCCATGACACCTAGGTTTCACCTCTAGCACCACAAAAACAAAACAACTCACCTGCTCTTGCCTATGTGATATGGATCTATTTTACCTATATTTTCTCTTCCACTCCCCTCTACCCAGTACTGGGGATTGAACCCAGAGCATTGCTAGGGCTCAGCAAATATAGTACTAGGTAGTGTTCTGTCACTGAGCTGCATCCCATGTCCTTTTTATTTTTAACTTTATTTTGAGATAGGGTCTTGCAGAGTTGTCCAGACTGGCTTCAAACTTATGATCCTCCTGCCTCAATTCCCGTAGTGCTGGGATTACAGCCATGTGCCACACACCAAACTAATTTTTTACCCATATAGTACTGTATTTCCAGGGCCTAGCTGAATGCCTGGCATAGAGCAGGCACTACACAAATTAATCTTTTTCTTATTTCTCTAGTTCCTTTTCAGACTTCAAAGTAGATTCTTGAACCAGGCATGGTGGCACAGGCCTGTAATCCCAGCACTAGGGAGGCTAAAGGAGGATTGTTGTGATTTCAAGACCAGCCTGGGCTACAAAGTGAGCTGAAGGCTACCCTGAACTGCATAGCGAGACCCTGTCTCAAAAGGACAAAAAAAAAAAAAAAAAAAGTAGATTCATATTTATTCTGTACATCTGATTGTAAAATGTAATTCTTTTCTATAGTGACATGTATTTTTTTACAAGGAAAACAAAAATTTTTGCTGGGCATGGTGGTATATATTGTATTCTGGAGGCTGAGACAGGAGGCTCACTGTGAGTTTAAAGCCAGCCTGGGTTACACAGTGAGTTCAAGGCCAGCCTGAACTACATAGTGAGACCTTGTCTCAACAAACAGACAAACAAACAAACAAAAATTTTCTCCACTTCTGTGTGAACACTGAAATGTGGTACATGTGCATAGTTGGAGATCAACAGGTATTTTTATTTTTTTAGTTTTTGAAACAGGGACTTGCTCTGTAGTTCAGGCTGGCCTCAAACTCATAGCAGTACTCCTGCCTCAGCCTCCCAAATGCTGGGATTATAGGGCTTTGTACTTTTTGTCTTTTTGAAACAGGGTCTCGCTATGCAGTTCAGGCTGAGCTTAAGCTCACTTTGTAGCCCAGGCTGGTCTCAAACTTGCAGTGATCCTCCTGCCTCAGCCTCCCGAGTGCTGGGATTATAGGCGTGTGCCACCATGTCCGGCTAATGTACTTTATTTTAATAAGGATTTGGAGTAACTACTAAAAGAGAAATATTACCTCAAAGACCATGACAGGAAATCCACTCTGAATAGTACTGTTAAGTTTGTCTCTTATGCCAGCATGGTAAAGGGATTCCAAAAAGTGAGCAAATATGTTTGTCTCTTAGAACCAATAGGGGTATATCAGTGTGCAAAAAATGCTAAGCACCAAGCGGTTAAACGAAATGTATCTAACAGTATGATTTTAGGCAAGTTATTTTTGTTTTTTTTTTTTTGTTTTGTTTTTCTTCCGGTACCGGGAATCGAACTCACGACCTTGCGCTTGCCAGGCAGGCGCTTTGCGCAAGTTATTTTTGACTTTTTATCTTGTAACATATTAATCCAAGCACTGGTGCAGAGATGGTTGCTGTTTGCTTAGGTTAACTGGTGCTAATCATAAGTAGATAAAAACAAACATGCAGGGCAGTCATTGTTGATTTTGAAATCTTACGCTGAAGTGTACATCATTTGCCCCTGTGCTCTTTAATGCTCTTACAAGGAATGAAGCCAGGTCAGACGGACGAAGTGATCTGATACCAACCATCAAATTTCGGCACTGCTCTCTGTTGAGAAACCGACGCTGCACTGTAGCATACCTGTAAGTTCCTCAGCTTTTGTTCGGGGTGGCAGGGAACCTGGAAGGGTTTTCTGTGTTGTCTGGTTTCCAGGAAAACTCAAGTGGTAGATTTGTTTCTTCATAAAAATTCTAAATTCTTTTATTTTTTCCATTTTTAAGACTTTTTATTATGAAAACAAATTAACTGCAATATTCATAAAAGGAGAAAGAATAAGATAACAAAAATTACAGAGCTATCTGATCTCCCTGAGTCTGCTGTTCTGCTCTTGGGGTACTGGGCATTAAACTGTGATCCTTGGCATGCTAGGCAAGTGCTCTACTCCTGGGCCACATCCCCAGCCCTTTAACGATTAATAATTTATTGTTCCTCTTTTTTAGAGACAGGGTCTCACTATGTAGTTCAGGCTAGCCTTGCACTCACTCACTAGCCCAGGCTGGCCTTGCACTCATAGCAGTTCTCCTGCCTCAGCCTCCTGAGTGCTCAGATTACAGGTGTGTGCCACCATGGCCGGCTTAAATAACTAATTTTTGCAGTACTTGGAATTAAGCTCTGTTGAGCTGCAGCCTTAGCCTTATTTATTTTATTTTATTTTTTCATTTTGATACAGGTCTAGCTAAGTAGCCCAAGGCTGTCTAGACTGCCCTTGAACTTGGATTCTCCTGCCTCTCCTCCCTTAGCTGGGATTAGAGGCGTGCACCACTGTGCCTGGCTGCTGTTAGGTCTTTTGTGTGTCACTGTATGTATGCATGTATTTGTCTTTTTGAGACAGGGTCTCTCTATGCAGTTCAGGCGGGCCTTGAGTTCACTTTGTAGCCCAGGCTGGTCTCAAACTCGTAACGATCCTCCTGCCTCAGCCTCCCAAGTTCTGGGATTACAGACATATGCCATCACGCCCAGCTGTCACTGTATTTATTTCCTCACATTTTGCTTGGCCCACACCTAGAAAAGTGAGGGGCATCTTCCAGATGTCTGTCCAGTCTGTATGTTTCCCCCATTATCCCAAGTACAATAAACGCCCTTCTTAAAGGGCGTTTATTCTATCAGGATCCACATAAAGGCCACTGCTCTGTCTGGGCTGCCTGTGAGCCTTGATGGGCATGACCTCCGATCCCCTCTATTCTTACGCCATGTGTCTCGTAGGTATGACCGGCTGCTTCGAATCCGAGCCCTCAGGTGGGAATATGGCAGCGTCCTGCCGAGTGCTTTACGGTTCCACATGTCTGCTGAGGAAGTAAGTGAAGTACTGTTGTTCAGGTTCGTGAAAGTGCTGAGTTTCTGGGATTGGTCTGCAACTGCACTTACTCGTGTTTCTCTTTTTGTTTTTAACGTCTGTTCCTCAGCAGTGTTTGATGAATTTATTTCATGTACACTGTGGTGAAGTATGTAGTAGGGAGTAATTCTCAGTGCTATGTGGAAAACTTTTGTTACCTAACAGAGTACCACTGTGTTATTTATTAGTAATCTATCAGTGGGATTAAAAGCTGGCATTGCCGATTATGGTAGCACATGCCTGTAATCTCAGCACTTGGAAAGCTGAGGACTACATAGTGAGACCTTATCTCAAAAAACCAAAAGAAAGCCAAGCGTGGTGGCGCATGCCCATAATCCTAGCACTGGGAAGCTGAGGCAGGAGGATTGCTAAAAATTTGAGGCCAGCCTGGGCTACACGGTGAGTTCAGGGGCAGCCTGAACTGTACAGTGAGACCCCGTCTCCAAACCCCTTCCCTCCAAAACCAAAACAAACCAGCAAAAATCAAAATAAACCCTAGGATTGTTATTTGGCTGTTTTCTATAGAAAGAGTATGTATACCCACTGTTATTTTTCTGGTACTAGGGAATGAATCCAGGGCCTTTGCACTGAGCTACATCTTTTTTTAAATTTTTTTATTTTGAGAAAGGGTTTTGCTAATTTGCCTAGGTTGGACCAGAACTTTTGGTCCTCCTTCCTCGGTCTCCCAGAGTGCTGGGATGACAGGCGTGCACCACCACACCTGGCCATATGCACACTTTCTTATCAACATCATGAATTCATATTGGTAATGAAACTCTTTGATTTATCCAGTCACTGAAGTACAGACCTTGCCTCCTATTTCAGGCTGTGAGATTGGAGCCACATAGACTTGGGTTCAAATCCTGGTTCTCTATGTAATCTTAAGAGAGTAGGCTTCTCTCTCTGTCTGAGTTCACTCACAGTGAAGTCCACAGTGCCCGCCATCACAAGGCTGCAGTGACTTCTGACACTGACACCCGAGTTAGGCAGCTGTCCAGAGTCTGCCCTCACTCCAGCCCCAGCCGTAAGCCCTGCGGCCGCAGCCTCCCATTAGGCTCATTCTCCAGAACAACTCACAGGACTCAGGACAGCACTGTGCTTAAAACTTCAGTGTCATGGAGCAGAAAGGGTACAAATCAGAGGTGAAGAAGAGGCCACCTGGATGAGGTCAGGAGGGCGGAGTCAGGGCTTGCTGTGCTCCGGTTATTGGGTATAACAGCACACACAGAGTACCTCAGCCAGAGCCTCTAGTGCCCAGAGTGCTCGGGGCTCAGTCTGGAGGCTGCTGGCTGGATTGCGGGCCCTGGACTGGGCTCAGTCACTACCCTTCCTCCCGTCCAAGGAGATCAGATGTCTTGTCAAGGGCCCAAAGCCCAGTTGTGTGGTTCCGTGGCTGGCCCTCTGGCCATGGCCGGTCCCCTGTCACACATCCTGTTAGCGCAGGCTGTCCAGGGTCCGCCAGGAGTCACTCATTAGCACAAGCTATCAGCCTACTGTGAATAGCAAGGTGCTCCTGTCGCTGGAGAAATTCCATGGATCCAGAAGCTCCCTCCCAGGAATGGGGACAAAGGCTAGCTTGTTTCTTATCATGCAGCAGGGTGACCGTTGGCCTTAAGGCAGAGCTGCTTGGGTGAGCCCTGTGAGTTACAGCGCAGTCACCGTGCTGGAGAGCACAGCCCACGGCTCTCAGAAGCTCTCGTTCATCATGTTCGCCATTAGCTTCCGTGTATTTCTGAAAGTGGCACTGTTTTCTAACTTTCATTGCTTTGTTTTCATCTTGTCCATTTTTCGCATAAATAAATGAGTGCTGTCATTAGATGACAGCATTGGCTTAGATTTATATATACATATTCCAGAGTTAACTGTGTTTTAAGATTGTGTACATTCACAATTGTGTTTATGTCATTTTATATTGCCTACCCATTTAAATTGCTTGTAAGTCAAAATACATTCATTAATAGTTCATAAAAAAAAAAATAAGTGATTTCTATTCAGGTTTACCAGTAATTACAGATAGGTAACAGGTTTGGACTTAAGCTTTCAGCCTCTGTCTTGGTTTCTTTTCTCATTGCTAAGACAAAATAACCAATGCCCAAAGTTAAGGGAGGAAAGGTTTATTTGGCTCACAGCTTGTAATTTTTTTTTTTTTTTCTGGTACCAGGAATCGAACTCACGACCTTGCGCTTGCCAGGCAGGTGCTGTGCCACTGAGCTAAATCCCCTTGGCTCACAGCTTGTAGAGTGTCAGTCAATAGTCAGCTGGCTCCAGGGCAGGGTGGCGCAGCACAGAACTGTTCATGGCGGGCAGAGACAGCAAAATCAACAAGCAAACCTTAACAGTGTCTTTCTGCCCTTTTTATACTCAGTCTAGGGTGGTGCCAAACCAGTCAGTGAACAGATCACACACCCTTAATTCCAGCGTCACACACTCCAGATTCAGCCACCTCTAAAAAAAGCTGTATGACCGCATGAGGCTTTAGGGGGACATCTAGATACAAACCATAACAGCTTCTTATTTTCATGTTCTTTGGTTCTTGTTCTTTTGGTTTTTTGAGACAGGGTCTCACTATGTAGTCCAGGCTGGTCTTGAACTCATAGCAACCCTCCCGCCTCAGCCTCCTGAGTGCTGGGGTTGCAGGTGAGTGCACTACACTCAGCTCTCACATTCTTTTGTGCCCAGTTCTTCATATGAATTGAACTATGGGAACTTCTCCATGTGTATTACAGTGAAACGAACAGAACACTGTTACTTCTGAAATGGCAGTAGCTATCATGATTTTTCTCATGTTAGATCAGTATGTTTGTTATAACTGTAAATGATTGGACACTGTTGGTCAAACTTATCTCTTAGATTTCATGTGGGCATTTTTTTGTCTAAGGGTAACACTTTTCTGTGATTAGTTAGTAAGGCCAGTTCTTATTTTATTTTATTTTGTTTTGTTTTCTTCGGTACCAGGAATTGAACTCAGGACCTTGCACTTGCCAGGCAAGTGCTGTGCCGCTGAGCTAAATCCCCAGCCCCTTCTTATTTTATTTTATTATTATATTATTGTCTTTTTGAGACAGGCTTTCACTGTGTAGTTCAGGCTGGCCTGTGTGTGTGTGTGTGTGTGTGTGTGTGTGTGTGTGTGTATGAGAGAGAGAGAGAGAGAGAGAGACTGAGTGTGTGTGTTCCCAGGAACTGAACTCAGAACCTTGTGCTTGCCAGGCAGGCAGTTATATCACTGAGCTATATCACCGGCCCAGGCTGTCCTTGAACTCACAACGAACCTCTTAGCTCATCCTCCTGAGTGCTGGGATTAACCACAGCCAGTGCCAGTTCTTAGTTTAGTAAAATACAACCATGTGAACATCATGGGTCTAGAGATGAAGTTAGTCGTTTGGGAGTAATGAAACCTGAAATAATTTCTTGGGAAGAGTTTGTGAATTACTGTGAAATGGGCACATGACTTCTTTCTGCCCCAGGGTCCTCACCTGTAAAAAGCAGTATGTGCCGAGTGTGGCAGCACACAGCTGTAGTCCCAGAACTCTGGGAGGCTAAGGCAAGGAGATCAAAGAGTCCAACCTGGGCAACTTAGCAAGAACCTGTCTTGAAATAAAAAATTTAAAAAGGGTAAGTGGGGACCAAGGATATAGCTCAGCAGCCTAAGCGCCTGCCTGGCAAGCATAAGGTCTTGAGTGTGATTCCTGGTACCAAAAAAAAAAAAGAGAGAAAAGAAAGAAAAAACCGGGCTGGGTTTTAGCTCAGTGTGAAGTCCCTGGGTTCAGTCCACAGTGCCCCACCCCACACACACACACACGTGTGCTTGCAATGTGTTTGGCCTCTTACTCTCAGCCATGGCATTTTGGGAAATCTCAGGATGAAAATAAGAATGCAGGCACATTCTGCCTGGATCACAGACATCTCTGGCAGCTGCATCCGCCATTTGGACTGAGTTTTCTGGCACCTGACAGCTCAGAGGAGACTGCCGTGTCTGAGTGCCACTGTGCACGTCTCTGTTGCCCAAGGGTGGTGCTGCAGGGGAGAAGCCTGAGGCTCAAGTCAGTACCAGGGCTCACCCCACCCCTGTGTGATTTATTAACTCTCAGCTTTAGTTCCTCAGCAGTGAAAAGGAAGTAATAATAGTGCTCCTGTCATAGGAATAATAAAATATGCATGTTAATATTTCAGCAGGTTCCAGGTACACAGTAATGCAGTATCAGTGGGGATGTTGATGCTCTCTTTACTGAGGACATCGTGACAGTAAAAGTGAAGAGCACAGCGAGAATACAGGGACAATTCTCTATGTTGAATGTGATCCTCATGTATGTCTAAAAGGTACCAGTAAAATCTGATTAAAGCAAAAAGAAAACTTTTTTTTTTTTGTCTTTTGAGACAAGGTCTCACTATGCAGTTCAGGCTGGCCTTGAACTCACTTTGTAGCCCGGGCTGGCCTCAAACTCACAATGATCCTCCTGCCTCAGCCTCCTGAGTGCTGGGATTACAGGCGTGCCTCGAAGTATTTTTTCAGGGTATTCTTTTGGAAGAAATGTGTATATTCTGCATTGGCTTTTCATGCCTGGGCAAGACTGAAAGGAGGGGCCCCTCAGGGCGGAGCAGCTCTGACTCTCCCTCTGCACTTCTCCTTGGGATGGCGGTAGTGCCCCGAGCTCTGCATTTCTGCAGAGACCAAGGTGGAGAGAGAGCCATGTGTGACCCATGCAAAGCATCATGCGTACGGAAACATGTTGTTTTAATCATTACATAACATACAGCATAGCTTTCACCACCGAGGCACATGTCCTTTTTTGACCATTGGTATTGTGAAATCTAACATGTATGTGACCCGCACACTAACGTACGGAAGTGCACACAGACAAGATGCACAGCGCCAAGGTGTGTCACGGAGGCCCCTCACAACAGGTGTGGCAAAACTGAAGACCTTGTGCTTGCCGGCCAGCGGCTGTACCACTGAGCTACATCCCCGGCCCCTGAATTTTAAAACAAAGCCAAGAAAATGAACCTGTCCTTCAAATTGGTGGATTCATCAGGCAGGAATTCCTTTTGTTTAGTCTAGTTTAGTTTTGTGGTACTAGGGTTTGAACCTAGGAGCACGTGTCCACCACTGTGGTGGAGAAAGAGGACGTCGCTCTGGAGTGGACACCCTCCTCCCAGCGTCACTGCTTTCCTGGGCACTTACTTATTTGTCTGTGACCTACATCTCCTTCCTTAAACTCTGAAACCAGGGCTTTACTCACACAACACCAGTGCTCTGCCACTGGGCTACACCCCAACCTTTAAAATTTGTATTCTGACAAAAAAATTTATTTTTTATTTTTATTTTTTTGTTTGGTCTTTTTGAGACAGGGTTTCACTATGCAGTTCAGGCTGGCCTTGAGCTCACTTTGTAGCCCAGGCTGGTCTTGAACTCACAAGGAATCTCCTGCCTCAGCCTCCCAAATGCTGGGATTACAGGCGTGAGCCACCACGCCCGGTGAAAAAATTTATTTTGAGACAAGTCTGGATCAACGTTATCCACAAGTTCTATATTATTACTAATGTGACTAATTTATCTGTCTTGTCTTCACTGGTTGGTTTTTCGTTTGTTTGTGACCTAGTGAAGAAATTCTTATCTATCTAAGATATTTTTTGGTGTTGTCTCATAGGACTGTGTTTTACCTTTCACAGTGAGAGTGGTGTTGGGATTGACTTCCGTGTGTAATGTGGGAGGTTTCCTTTTGGCTGTGGACATTGCTGTGACCCAGAAGCATTCACTGGAAAGACCCTGTCTCTACCTGCTCTGTGCATATTGCTGCCTGTTGTCACTGAGCGTTGCTGTGTTTGTGGGTTTCAGATGGGAGACTTACCTTCTGTCCCATTAGTCAGTCTGTCCTTGCACTGATTCCACTCTTGTGGTTACTGTAACTTGATAGTATGTCTTGAGCAAGTATTCTTGTCTTCCTTTTCAAGTATTTCAACTATTTTTGGACCTTCAAATTTCCATGTAGCTAGGTGTGGTGGCACATGCCTGTAATCCCACTTGGGAGGCTGAGACAGGAAGGTTGCCACAAGTGCGAGGCTAGCCTAAATTGTAACATAGGTAACCAGCAGAAACCACCAGGCTTGTGTAAAGGCAACATGGCATGGAACTTATTGTGCCTGGATTTGGGCAGAGAGGGTGATAAGACGGTCTGCCCAGAACAGAGAGAAGTGTGTCCCTTTCATAGGGATGGAGAGAAGGCAGGGACATTGGGTGGGACATTCCCAATGAGTATCTGTGGTTAAAGTTTTCTGGCAATCTTGCATCTCACTGGGCCGAGTCCTTTGACGCGTCTGTTGTAAATTTTCGGGTGTCTCCGGATGTCTCCAGGTCCTGCAAAATTCCTTGTCCTATCTTATCTCCTTTCCTGTGTTTGCCGATGGCAGCCTCAGTGCTGAGCTGAATTCCCTGCAGAGAACAGGCTGGGGCCGGGAGAGTTGGGCCAGGTTGAAGTCTTACGTAAATTACATAGTGTGACCGGGTCTCAAAAAAAACAAATTGCCATGTAAATTTTACATTTAAGTTCTGAAGTTCCATTTTTTAAAAAGTTAAGAATTTGAGATTGAATTGAACCTACAGACATTGCTACAGTGTTGAGTCTCTTAGTGAATATTGTATACCCCTCCATATATTTAGATCTTCTTTCATTTCTCTCAACAATTAAAAAAAAAAAACAGATTTACTGAGCTGTGTCACTATTAAGTTTATCATTTTAAAGTATACATTTCAGGGGTTTTCAGTATGTCCAGAGTTGTCCATCCATTACCACCCTCTTATTTCAGAACATTTTCTTTGCTTTAAAAAGAAACCCTATCCCAGCACTCAGGAGGCTGAGGCAGGAGAATTGTTGTGAGTTCAGGCCAGCCTGGGCTACAAAGTGAGTTCAAGGCCAGCCTGAACTGGGTAGCAAGACCCTGTTTCGAATAAACAAGCAGAGAAACCTTGTATCCTTTGTCAGTTACATCATAGTCTCCCTTTATCCAACTCCTAGCGATCACTCATCTACTCATTTTCTCTATAGTTTGCCCATAATGTGTTTTTTCTGTGCATAGAACCATGCTGTATATGGCTGTTTGTCCCTTTTACTTAAGTTTTCAAGGTCCATCCATGTGGTAATACATATCAAAATTTTATTTGTGTTTATGGCTGAGTAATATTCCTGTATGGTATTCACATCCATGTATCAGTGCATGGACAATGTTTTTTGTTTTTTTTTGTTTTTTGTTTTTTTTTCAAAAATATCTTATAGTTTTCAGAAATAGAATCAATGCTGCTGTTTAATTATATTTTGTAGTTCTGAAATGGCATCCTCATGATTCTGTTTTTGGTTGAATGTTCCCCAGGTTTATGATTGAATATGTTGGGATGTAAGCTTGGAGGGAGCAGAGACGTGTGTTTGTTTTGTTGGATGATCTAGTCTGAGTCCCAGAAGAGTGCCTGGGTCCTGGAAGGCGGTCTGTTTAGGTAGTGCACAGGAATGGGTGGCCAGAGTTGGCCCATGTTGGATGAGTGCAAGTTTTCCTATGACTGTGTCACATGACCATGTCTGTGTTTGCAGATGGAGTGGTTCAATCAGTACAAAAAGTCCCTTGCCACTTACATGAGGTCCCTGGGAGGAGCTGAAGGTCTGGACATCACGCAAGACATGAAGCCACCAAAAAGCCTATACATTGAAGTATGTGCATTTTAATTAAAGTGTGGACTGTGCTGCCTTTTATCTAAGATGATGGGTTATAGGAGTATGTACTGGCTTCTATTAAACAGCTAAGGAAGCCTAACCCAAAACCAGAAGAATGAGCTAAGCAGGTGGAGAACAGGATGGAGCAGCTGATGCCCGTGAGTGTGTTAGTCTTTATAGGTTTACCTCCAGGCCATATAAATATTGCCCTCTTATTAAAACAAAATTAATCGAAATGGAAAACCAGTCCCTAAATTTTTATGTTTAACTTTTTTTTGGTACCAGGAATTGAACTCAAAGCCTTGTGCTTGCCAGGCAGGTGCTGCACCACTGAGCTACATCCCCAGCCCCCTGAAATTTTAAAACAAAGCCAAACAAATGAACCTGTCCTTCACATTGGCAGATTAATCAGGCAGGAATTATTTTTGTTTAGTCTAGTTTAGTTTTATGGTACTAAGGTTTGAACCTAGGGACCTTTTTTGTAGTAAAATGTACGTAACAAATTTTATAATCTTTGTTTTTTTGAGACAGGGTCTCACTATGTCGTTCAGGCTGGCCTTGAAGAACTCATGGTATAGCCCAGGCTGGCCTCGGACTCATGCTGGTCCTCCTGCCTCAGCCTCCTGACTGGTGGGATTACAGGTGTGTGCCATCACACCTGGCAGAAATGCCATTCTTAGCCATTTTTAAATGAATAGTTTAGAAAGTACCAAGTGCTTTTCTAGTATTATACAACCATCACAACATCCATGCCCACATTTCTCCTTACCTTATGAACCAAAATTCTGTACCCACTAAACAGAAATTCCCTAATCCCTCTCCTCCTGGCACCTGAGAACCACTACTGTATTGTGCTTTCTGTCTCTATGAATTTGACTACTGTACCTCATATAAGTGGAATCATATGATATTTGTCTTTTTCTGACTGGCCTGTTTGTTTATTTTTCTGAGACAGGGTCTCACTATGCAGTTCAGGCTGGCCTCAAACTCATGGAAATCTTCTTGCCTCAGCCTCCTAAGCACTGGGATTACAGATGTGCACCACCACACCTGGCTCTGTGACAGGCTTATTATTTAGCATTGTAGATTCATCCATTTTGTAGCACATGTCAGAATTTTTCCTTTTTAAGGCTGAATAGTATTCCATTTGATGGATAAACCATCTTATCTGTCATCCATGGGTAGACACTTGCATTATTTCTACATTTTAGCTATTGCGATCAATGCTGGTATAAACATGGTGTGTAAATACCTCTTCAAGACCACGCTGTCAGTTGTTTTAGATGTACAGAAGCAGAGTTGCTGCATCCCATGATAATTCTGTGCTTCAGTCTTGAGGAAGCACCATACTGTTTTACATGGAGTTGCACCACTGTGCATGCAAGAGCCCCTCTTCACCCGTGCTTCGGCTGTGGTTTTTCCCTTCTAATTAGAGCCACCCTGAAGGGTGTGGATGGTCTCTCACTGTAGTTGTGAGATGTGTTTTCCTAGTGGTTGGAGATGTGGGATGTCTTTTCATGTGCTTATTAGCTGTTGTCACATCTTTGGAGAAATGTCTGTTTGGGTCCTTTGCACATTTTTTAATTTTGGGGGGAGATATATATATGATATCAATATATATGCTGGATATTGTATTTTCTGGATAGTATATATTCTGGATATTAATCTTTTATCAGATGTATGACTTGCAAATATTTTATCTCATTTATGGTTTGCTCCTTATGCTATTGATACAGTCTATGATGCACAAAATATTAAAATTTCATGCAGTCTTATTTGTGTTTTCCCTTTGGTTCCTTTTGCCTTTGGTTCCATAGCCAAGAAATCATTGCCAAGTTCACTGTAGTGAGAGAAGACACTTTGTTTGTATCTTGAGACTTAACTTACAGCCTGACGTACGCCTGTCCAGCCACTTAAAGACCCAGGCTGAAAGGTCACTGAGTTTGCAGCCTGCCTGGGTAGCACAGCGAGACTGTGTGTGAAAAGAAAGGTAGAGCTCCAGCTTTTTCTTTCAGGTGCGGTGTCTGAAAGACTACGGAGAATTTGAAGTTGATGATGGCACTTCAGTCCTGCTAAAAAAAAATAGCCAGGTATTTCCTGTCACCAAATGCTTTACCTTAAACTTCATAAGGGTGTGGAATGTGAGGATTTTGGAATGAGAGGCGAAGTCACTACTGCGTTGGATAACCATGTCATAGGCATTGTGTTTAGTACAGGACACCCTGTGCTTTTCCAAATAATTGATCTTAAGTGAATGTTTCATGTAGTAGGAAAGGTTAATTAATTTATTAGGGCCAGGTGTGGTGGCGCACACCTGTAATCCCAGCACTCAAGAGGCTGAGGCAGGAGGATCATTGTGAGTTCAAGACCAGCCTGGGCTACAAAGTGAGCTCAAGGCCAGCCTGAACTGCATAAGGAGACCCTGTCTCAAAAAACACACACACACAAAAAAAATTTACTAGGATGTTGCTTATATTTAACACTAAGCATTTCCCATGGAAATTATCACAATGGGCCTTGTTCTGGTTAAGGAGTAGAGTCTAGTTAAGTGGTAGATCATTCTGAGGCTTTTGAAATGTTGGATTTAGTGCCTGTCCCTAAATTATAATTTATTTTATTTTATTTTATTTTTTTGTGACAAGATCTCACTATACAGTTCAGGCTGGCCTTGAGCTCACTTTGTAGCCTAGACTGGCCTCAAACTCACAGTGATCCTCCTGCCTTAGCCTCCTGAGTGCTGGGATTACAGGCATGTGCCACCATACCTGGCTTAAATTATAATTTATAAAAGGGTTTCTATGCAATCTTTTTCACCTTGTACTTGACCTTAACCTAGTTCTTTAGAAAACTGTGGTGAGCTGGGCATTGTAGTGCAGGCCTGTAATCCCAGTACTCGGGAGGCTAAGGCAGGAGAATGGCTGTGAATTTAAAGCCAGCCTGGGCTACAAAATGAGTTCAAGGCCAGCCTGAACTGCATAGTGAAACCCTGTCTCAAGAAGACATACATACATACATACATACATAAACAGTGGTGATATAGATCAAGAATTTCTAAGTGTTTAACATATACTATAATATGGGGATGTTGAAATTATAAAGTTGTAACTTGAACTAATTTTTCCTTATAAAGAATCTCAACATATTCGTTTCCTTAGCCATTTTCGGATTCAGATTAGGTGGATTAACACTGGCTAAATTTATTTTTATCACTTTTCTCTTGAGGGTCTACACTCTATTTGCTTTGAGTATATATTTTAAATTCTGCATAGTAAACTGCTTTATGCTTCTCAGAACACAAATTCTTTCTGTCCTATTCTCACCTACTGAGATCAAAGTGTAGGAGGTAGGAGGACTCCTAAAAGCCTCTGTTTCTGTCACTGCCTTGGTATTGACCAAGGTGCTAACCTCACTGTGTTCATACCACAGAGCAAGGTTCAGCCCATGCGGTTCTTGGTTTATTATTTCACTAGTACTCTTGGAGCTTCTCCTTCCTAAAACAAATGCTGACTATTTTATTTGTTTGCTTTTTTTTTTTGTTTTTCTTCCGGTACCAGGAATCGAACTCACTACCTTGCGCTTGCCAGGCAGGCGCTGTGCCGTTGAGCTAAATCCCCAGCCCAATGCTGACTATTTTAGAAACAGGTTTTGAGGGTACCCTGAGGCAACAGTGTCACCGCAGTGTCCTCACAGGAGGGCGGCACAGGTACAGCAGGGCAGATGAGGGTTGAGCCTGCAGAAAGCCTGCGTTCACAGGACAGCACTGTCCTCAGCAGGATGTGCGATCCTGCCATGCAGCCTTCTTCCAGCAGTGCCTGCTCATTCGCCCGTGTGGACCACGCGGACAGGGCCTTCCTCTGGGGGTGCTTTTAACTTAGTTTCTCATCTGTCACCCTGCCCTCAAGCACAGAAGTGAATGCACTAAAATAGGAACTTAATCACTGTATCTTAAACCTGTCATCGACTACTGTATTTGATACTTGGGGCTTCTAAAGTGTCTGACCAGAGCTGACATTGATTGCACACTATGGTGTAGATAATCCCCACAATGTAGACATTGGTAGGGAGATCTTAACACACTTTTTTTTGTCTTTTTGAGACAGGGTCTCACTATGCATTTCAAGCTGGCCTTGAGCTCACTTTGTAGCTCAGACTGGTCTTGAACTCGCAATGATCCTCCTGCCTCACCCTCCAGAGTGCTGGGATTACAGGTGTGCACCACTATGCCTGGCATGACTCCTCTTTTAAATGACACATTAGAGTAACTGTGGGGTGAGCCCTCACCATGTTTACATACCAGCACTGGAGAAGCTGTTAAATGCACTGTTTAGAAGGCCGTGAAGAAGTTAGTTGATGGTCCCTGGCCTGTGTGTCTTCATGACTCACGCAGACTTTGGTCATGGTCTTCATGAGGCCCTTGGGTTTGTGAGGCAGGATCTTCAAGGGCAGGGTTGTGAAGTTACATTTTGCTTCTTGAATTCTAGGAGGGAGGTTCTGGGGATTGAGCCCAGGGCCTCAGCACATCCCCCAGTCTGTTTTAATTGTTTTTAAAAATTTTGAGGCAGCACCTTGCCAAGTTTCTACATTGCTTGGACTTGCGATCCTCCTGCTTCAGCTTCAGCTGGTTCCAATAGTTTTGATAATCCCGGCCACTGAGATTATTTTCTAAGGTTATTTGCCTTCATTCATAATGTTCTATTTCTAGTTTTTACCCAATCACATCTTTCTGAGCTTGAACATCTTCCCCTGAGCTCCCGTGCACTTCCCCGTCCTCCTGCTCCATTCACTGCTACACGAAACCCCCACTTTGGAGAAGGAAGGAGACTGCCTTCCACCCAGTCTCAGTCCTCTCAGAACAGCCTGTGTGCCCGGGGCACGGGAGGGCCGCCAGCAGGTGCCAGCGTCTGCACACACAGCGTGTGAACAGCGCCCTCGTACTCAGGAGTCCTGTACCTTCAGTGCCTCTGAAGCACAGGAGCGAAGTTGCCATTGTTGGTGCTAGAAGAATAAAGGTTCCTGGGGACGACATCCCCTCAGGTGGTCTCCCACTGGGCTGCTATACCAGTGCGCCCTCCTCACCCTCCTGGGGTTTCTGTGCATGGATTCAGAAATGCAGACCCTGTGGAAGTGCCTACCAGAACCCAGAAGTCTCCACTTAACTTGAGCCAACTGTGAATTCACTTAGGAAAGTAAGAATCCCATGTACCTCAGTGCATCAATTTCAGTTGATCAAAACAGCAAATACAGTCAAGTCAAATAAGGTCAAGGAGTTTGAAAAATAATCAGCTGCTGCTTTTTAATAATGGCAAAGAAATTTTAAAGTCTTGGTTATTTCTCTGACTCTCTCTCACTCCTTTCCCTCAGCACTTTTTGCCTCGATGGAAGTGTGAGCAGCTGATCAGACAAGGAGTCCTGGAGCACGTCCTGTCGTGACCACATATGGGCCTGCACGGTGCTGCCCCCTCCCCGCTGTGGCGCTGAACCTGGATCATGGAAACGTCTACACCTTGGGCTCCCTGCCCTGCCCACAGCAACAGAAAGCTGACTACCCTGAGTTAAACCTCAGCCCCAGTCTTTATTTGAAATGAATGTATACTAGCAAAAGATTTGAAAGTGTGGAGTCTGTATCACTTTATAGCAACTGGCTTTTTATTTAGAGTTGTGGCTAGAATTTTAAACATATAGCACGTTTTCTGATCATACGGGGAATATATCAGTTAGGCATGCTGGCACACACTTGATATCCCAGCATTAGGGAGGCTGACGCAGGAGGATGATGAATGGGTTCAAAGCCAGCATGGGCTATATAATAAGTTCAGAGTTGGCCTGGATTATATTAGTGAGAGCCTGTCTCAGCAACCCCCACCAACAAAAGGCATGCTCAAAAAACAAAAAGTGAAAAATCCAGCGTAGCAAATGAAGATAAGGCCAGGCATGGTGGCACACTCCTATAATCCCAGCACTCGGGAGGCTGAGGCATGAGGATTGTTGTGAGTTCGAGACCAGCCTGGGCTATAAAGTGAGCTCAAGGCCAGTATGAACTGCATAATGAGACCCTGTCTCAAAAAGACACACACACACACACAAAAGGTAAGTTCCTTTACCCCTACTAATTATTGCCATCTGGTGGGTCCAGTGTTAGCTGACCCATGGTGGAATACAGGCCTCCATCTTTTAAGTGTTTTAACAATTATTTTCCAGTTTTTGTGCCTGTTTTTGTTGTTGTTGTTTTTGTTTTTTTCCAGTACCAGGAATCGAACTCATGACCTTGCGCTTGCCAGGCAGGCGCTGTGCCGCTGAGGTAGATCCCCAGCCCCTTTTGTGCCTTTTTAATATTTTTAAACTGGCCTTAGTGGATAGGTGTAAGAAAGCTGAAGATTATGATGACCTGGCCACATTCTAGTATTCGTGTAAACCTGTTTTCCACATTGACTGTGCTGCTGAGAGCTCTGGGGACAGCGTTTCCTGCTGGTGACAGCCAAAGCTTGTCATCTTCCTGACTCGCTGGGTACCACAACCTCATTCTCAGTCTTGTCCTTGGGCTTTGGTTTTTAGTTTTCGTTTTTATCGGTGCATGTGTGCAGTTTATAACAATTACATTCTCTGTGGGAGTTTCTTAATAGATGTCACACATCTTTATTTTTTTATCCCCTTCCTTGCCTATATTTTATCAGGAAAAATATCAAAGCTATGATTTTTCTTGGTGCAACCTCAAAACAAAACCACGGTGACTGACAAACAGCTTCTTGGGAGTGCTTGCTCACTTACCTCCCTACAGCTATGCACTGTATGAACAAGCTTTGTTTTGGAACGCTCTTGCATTCATGGACTAAACTCTCGGCCAGGCTGTGTTGACTGCTCAGCAAGCTGTGGCACTGCTTTGCAGTGTTTGGAGGAGGGCTGTGCCTTCGTGTCTGTGCGTGTGAGCACTTTGGGCTGAGTGTACCTAGAAAACCCTCAAGCAGGTGGCTCCAGCCACTTCATGCTGGATCAGGTCTGGGTGTGGCGGGGGCAGCTGGGCAGAGGTCCCCGGATGTCCGGGGTTCTCAGTGCAGGTGCTCCTGGTGGGGGCTGTGTGATGGCCCCGTCCTCCCCCTCCTGTACGCTCCAGCAGGTGGCAGCCCAGGGCACCCTTGGTGTTCAGTGTGACTGTGTGGAAGCCCAGGCCTGGTGCTGGGCTGACCAGGCCGCCACAGCCCATCCCCAGGGTCCCTGAAGGGACTGGAGGAGCACATGAGGGGGATGCGGGGTTTGCTGTCAGGCTCTCGGTTTTGAGAGTTGCTTATATATTCTAGATCCAATTCCTTCATGGGATGCGTGCTCTGTAAAGGCTTCCCAGTCTGTAGCTTGTAAATTCAGAGGCCACGTTCTTGCCCTCTCCCTTCCTCCCTCTCACTGTGCTGGGGATTGAACCCAAAGCCTTTAAACCGAGCAACATCCCCAGTCCTTTTTGTTCAGTTTTTACTTTTGAGACAGGGTCTTGCAAAGTTGCCTCCCAGGTGCTGGGATGACAGGGGTGTGGCACCTCACCCAGCTCAGTCTTTTTGCAATTTCTTTCTTTTTTTTTTTCTTTTTTTGTGGAGACAGGGTCTTGCTACATGCCAGCCTTGAACTCACTATGTAGCCCCGGCTGGCCTCAAAGTCATGGCAACCCTCTTGCCTCAGCCTCTAGAGGCTGCACCACCGTGCCTGCTTCTCTAGTACTTATGGTTACATCTATGAAGTCTTTCCCTCCTTAGATCACACTTTGTTTCCTTTTTTCCTCTGTAAATGATAGGTTTTATATTTAAGCCACATCCATTTGAGGTAATTTCTGTATGTGGTGCAAGGTACAGTTCTAAATTCACTCCCTTCCTTGGATATATAACTGTCTAGCAGCTGCATTACCATCTATTGAAAAGGCTATTCCTTCCCTTCTGTCTTTATTGTTTTTTGCTGCATCTAGTACAGCTGTCAAAATTCTTGGGGTGAAGGATGGTGGAGGATGAAGAAATAAAGACAAGAGTTAGAAAACAGAAAGCTGAGGTCAGGGGCTGGGGATTTAGCTCAGCGGCAAAGCGCCTGCCTGGCAAGTGCAAGGTCGTGAGTTCGGTTCCTGGTACTGGAGAAAAAACCAAAACCAAAAAAAAAAGAAAGCTGAGGTCAGGTGGAGCCCTCTCTTTGGATAGAGCTTGCTTATGTAGCCCAGGCTGGCCTCATGGTGGTCCTCCTGCCTCAGCCTCAGGTGCTGGGATTACAAGTGTGTGCCACCACGGTCGGCTATTTCTGGCCTCTTGGTTCTGATCATTGGCTTATTTTTCTTCTTTTTCCTTCCCTGATACCAATACCATGTTGTTTGTATGTGCAGTGGATAATTTTGACATAGGTATGTTAATTCTCCACATATCTTTCAGATTTGTCTCTGCTGAATCCTTTGCTTTTCATATTAAATATAGTCAGCTTGTCAATTTCTTCCCAAACATAAACAAACAAAAACCCCTGCTGGCATTTGATCAGCAGTTGCACTGAATCTGTATGGGTAGGGAGTGAACTGACATTTCAACAGTATCGACTCTTGGCCCCAAAACAAGGTGTATCTTCCCTTTGTTTCTGTCTTCCATTTCTCTCAGTATTTTGTAGTTTTGTAGTATCTTGTAGGCCTAACAAGACCTGTATTTCATAGTTCTGACAAATAGTACTTTGACGTTTCAGACTATAGTAATTTATCCGTAAAGCGAGATGCATTTGAGGTTGAATCTGTACCCTGCCGCCTGGCTAGACGCCCTTCCTCATGGCTTTTCTGTAAACTGCGTCAGCCTTCTACATCCACAGTCATGCTTTTATGAAGAGTTTTACTCCTCCCCATGTAATGTGGATGCCTTACATCGTCTTCTTGCCTGAATCAAAGTACAGTCTCGAGAGGAAGGCGTTCAGTCTTGGTATATTCCCTCCTAAGGCCGTGAAAATGCTTTGATCGGGGTGACAGGTTCCCCTATTTTTCGTTTACTGCATTTTTTACAAAAGTCAGGACTGGATGTTGGACTTCATCATATGAATTCCTGCATCTATTGACATGACGTTTTCATCCTTCAGTTGACAAATATGGTGAATTGCAGTGGCTGATGAGTTGATTTTCTGAGGTTAAGCCAACTCTACTCCTGCCAGAAATCCCACTTAGTCATGATGTATTCTTTTTGGTTGGCTCTTACTTGAAAATATTGTTTAAAATTTTTGCATCCATCTTCTTTTTTTTTGGTCTTTTTGAGACAGGGTCACGCTGTGCAGTTCAGGCTGGCCTTGAGCTCCTTTGTAGCCCAGGGTGGCCTCGAACTCGCAACAATCCTCCTGGCTCAGCCTCCTAAGTGCTGGGCTTACAGGTGTGCACCACCATACCAGCTGCATCCATCTTATCATAGTATATTGGTCTGTAACGCTCTTACACAGTGTCTGTGAGGACCAGGGTAGTGCTGTTGTCCTCATAGAAAGAGTTGTGAAATACTTGAGGAGTTTATGTTTGGTATTATTTCTTCCTTAAATGTTTAACAGAATCACATTTTTGCCACCTGGGCCTGCCACCTCTTTATGAGATGTGCAACCACAATTTAAATTACTTTTTTTTTTTTTTTTTGGTTTTTTGGTTTTTCTCTGGTACCGGGAACCGAACTCACGACCTTGCGCTTGCCAGGCAGGCGCTTTGCCACTGAGCTAAATCCCCAGCCTCTAAA